TTACTATGGTAATTCTGACCTAGCTGACACACTAGATTCGAATTTCCTCTAAATAGCTTCAAACCCATTTACTTGCATTCATATCAAGAATCAGCATCATTAATTAGTTGCGTTCATGAATTAATAAAAGCCAAATATGACACTGGAAATGTTCTTCCTACTTAATACCAGAATTGCCTGCTGGTTGTTCAACTTAGTGTACATCATTCCTTCATTTTGATCGCTCAGAATTGATTCCAGACTGCTAAACTTCAGACTATTGGTGAATTCACACAGTAGTACCAGATAATCTTGATTTTCAGGGTTTTCATAACCTGCAGCACTTACTTAGAATAAGAATTAGAACTAAATGTTGCATAAGAATTTTTCAAACTATTGCTTGCATAAGCATAAAGACTATACTGGAAAGTTACCAAAAGTAAAATTTAGAAAATTATAATGCATATTTTATTGAAAAAGAATAATGCCTATCTGGCTTTCAGCAGCAAACTGGATAAATGTTAAAAAAACAGTGCTTGCCAAGAGAAAATCTAGTATTAGTTGGGTTTCAGGATACCAGGCTGCATCTAAACCATGATTTTTCCCTCGGAAAAGAATCAACATTTTATAATCCCATTCCTTTTAGGTAAATAGGTAAACTCTCCCTCCTTCTTAGCTGGGAAGAAAAAGATGTTAAATGGTGAAAGATCATCTTAACAGGGACTTCTGGTCAGTGACTAGACGTTGATAATAAACGCTGTATTTAGCAGAAAATAGAACTGCCGTTTTTTTAGAGAGGGGAAGTTCGTTCTTGTAGTGGGGCGCGCATCTTGGGGCTTAACATCGTTATCTTCTTCAGTAGAATTGCCTGCTGGTTGTTCAACTTCTAGTGTACGTCGTTCCTTCATTTTGATGGCTCAGAATTGATTCCAGACTGCTAAACTTCAGTCTTGGCTACTTAAAAAAGGAAAACTAGTTTTGTGCTGTAGTTGAGAATTCTAATGTGTGTCTTGGCTACTAAACCCATCGGAAATCCTGGCCACCTGCAGCCAGACCAGAGCGGCCCAGGACTCTGCGGGCAGAGCCACTGCTTTCTCATGCAGAAGGTAGCGTCGCCCGAGATCTTGGTGTATTGGCTGGGCAGCACAGGAGTCGCTCGTACTTCCCCATAGGTGCTTCCCTGGAATACACTGCTTGTTTAGCTAAGTGTCCTGTTCTAAGAGGTGCGCTTGTTTTTCCCACAGGGGACTACTCAAATTGTTGTATTTTCTGTTTTATTGTATAGGAAAGTGGCAAGAAACTTGAAGAAAACACTTACTATTTTGGAACTACAGTGAGAGGCCTGCTAACTAGATTTGGCAAGGTAGCTATTATTTTTTCTCTTATCTTCGTTACTGAATAGTTTATTCTCAACCAAATTGGCCTCGCTAGACTGCAGAGTGGACTGTGTGTATGGCAAGAGCCAGGACTTCCTTTACACAACACGTTTCCACTGAATGTGAGAAAATACACTGAAATTCTACACTTGATGTAATGGACAACTTTTTTCAAAAACAAACAAACAAACAAAGTGAATTAGTTGTTTTCTTCTACCTCTGTAAGCACAAGTCCTGCCTGCTCCAGTGACTATTTTTAAGTACTTGCTGTGAGCAGTCACTGGAACCCATTTCCCTGTTCCCAAATGAAGAGCTGTACCAGCAGTTTTTTGAATTTATGCTATTCATCCATGTTGTACAGCAAATGAATCTGTAATTACGCCATGCAAAGTGGTGTAGTTAAAATAGGAGAGACTGAATGTAGACCACCTGGATTTTCAATTTTGTTAATCTGATGTGTTCTGTGAATGCTTATCAGACTAGGCCCTACCACTTTCCACTTTAATACATCTTTTGAACAGGCTTAATATACTTGGTACTTCAATTTCAGTGAATTTACCGACGTGATTTCAAGACGCAGCAATTTTACTGTTGGCTGCAGCCAGAAAGACTGTTAAAAGGTGGAACATAGTTAATCCAAAACTTAGTAGTTTAATCATCGTTAATCCAAAACTGTTAAAAGGCAGAGCATAGTTAATCCAAACCTTTCTGACTTAGGCTAGAAATTCTATGAAACAACTTACCTGTCTATGCTAAATTAAGAATGAACCTAAATACAAAGTACGAAAAAAAATGTTTGGTTAAAGTTTTAAACTGACAAACTACAAGCTAATAATCATTTTTACTCTTCTAGACAATAGTGGATGAGCAGTTGGTTCTGAAGAGAGTGGCAGATATAGTTATTAATTTATATGCAATGACAGCAGCAATTTCCAGAGCTAGCCGGTCTATCAGTATCGGTCTAAGAAACCATGACCATGAAGTAAGTGTACTTTAATATCAGTGGTAACCATTTAATGTCTGCGCGCCTTGGATCATGTGGCTTAACAATCCGTATTTATTCCCATTCTGCCTCACAGTGTTTTGTAATAAAGAGGCGCTATCCAGCCTCAGACTTCCCTTGAAATCTTACAGCCTGTGTACGTTTTACAAGGCTCTAACCAGATGCTTTTGTCTGGACGAGCCAACTTTTCCCCTCAACTCCCCTCAACAATCGTTTTAGCACGATGCTGTCCTAAAAGAGTGCTCTAAACCAGCAGGCGTTGCATGCTAATGTCTCAGACTTTGCAAAACCTCAATGACGAAGAGCTTTCATTACACTTAAAACTACACTCTACATTTTTTTAAGAATTTATATCTATCACAGCAAACTCTCCCGTAAAACCAAGAGCATACCAGACTTTCTAAACTGATTGGTGCAAGAGTGCAGTAACCACACCAGTTGCGTCTCGGGTGCTGAGCTGCATGCTATCAAAGTATTTAAAATGTTTTAACATATACATACAGATTTATGAATGAATTACAAATTTGCATGCTCTTTTAAACCTGCTAATACCACGCAGTTCTTCCCAAACTCTTTCCATGTAATCATAAATAAATAGTAACGTATAATAACAATATTTTGTCAATAAATTTATTGACAGTAAAGTGAGAGTTTGTCACACAGGTGATTGTATAGTAGCTCATTTAAAGTTGCATGGTAATGGTTATGCTACAGGACAAGTAAATTTGCTACAATTAAGTGTTAGGGAAAATCCAAACTGATTAACCTTTGTCTTCACTGGCCTTAAGACTTCAGATTTTGTGTGTGTAAGCCCCTTCTGGATTTATTACCAAAAATGTCTTCTAGTCAGTTTTGCATGAAGGGGTCATCCCAACTCTGACACTCATGGCTGTGGGGAAAAAATAACAACGAAGCTTGCAACATACATGACTAGTTTGCAGGGCTCTGTTATCAAGAGACAAAACTAGACTTTCAGAAATTTAAATTACTGTATTTTTACTACATTGTTTTATGAAATTCATTTACTAGTTTTTAACTGAGTTTTACTATTTTCTCAGGTGCTTCTTACAAATATCTTCTGCACAGAAGCATATTTCAAGAATAATTATGCCATGGCTCAATTACAAAAATGTAAGTTCTATAAAATAAAAGGATTTTTTATACTCTTATGGCTTTCACAGACTCCAAACAAAAGTAGGTGTTTTTGATGTGACCAACAGAATAGTTTTGCTCTGCCTTTAATTAGGATGAGGCACAGAACTTGTACCAGTTGACTAGAAAGAGTCTCTTCATTTAATAGATAAAACTGCAGTGATTCTTTTCCAACTGTGGGGAGGAACACAAAATCTGTCAGTAGCAAATACTCCTGTAAAGAAAATATCAGATAACCAAATAGGTCAAATACCTAATTGTTAAGTACTGACCAATTAGGCGTTTGGTCTGTGAAACTCAGTCTGCAATAATCCTTCTTTTTTAGAAGAAAATGATAAATTATTACCTGGCACTGAAGTTTAGATACTTGCATTTGTATTCTAAAATCCTCTTTGAAAGAAATTTAGAAAAGCTATTTACGGTACTTCAGTTAACTTTCCTTCTGTTTCTCCACAGATGCAGATGAAAATCTGGATGACTGTATTAAAAAAGCTGCAAAGCAGGTACTGGAAAAGAGAGCCTATATCTGTTCTCATCCACTGGACAGGACATTCTAACGACTTCACTGACAGCAGATACCGATCAATGTAAAACAGTGGCTAATTTTCTGCAGTTCAAGGATTTGACACCTATTTCATGAGTTTACCAAATGTAATTAAGTGTAACTGTGTAAAATAAAACTTCTAAACACAGCTTCATATAAAAAAGATAAATAAAAAAAATGTTATTTAAATCTCAAGTTATCTTACTAGATGTATATATACGTCTGTTTCCCTTGGAGCTAAATAAAGACAGTTGAGGTTTGGACAGAGAGATGTGTTTTCCCAGGGAAGGGATCAGGTGTTTTGGGAAGTATCTTTAAGCTTAAATAAGCTATGTACTTACCTTCAGAGAAGCACTGAAAGACTTGCGGAATCAGACCAATTTAGTTTGGCAGAGACGTCCGGAGGTCACCTTGCCCAGCGCACTGCGGACAGCAGCACCAACTACAATCATCATCGCCTTTTCCAGGCGAGTTTTGAGTATCTCTGAGGATGGGGGTTTCATTGGCTCTCTGAGCTCCCATTTAAAGGTTTTGCCTTGTGTTTCATCAGAACTTCTCCATGCTCTGTTCTTGGCCTTGGTCTTAAAGCCTTACACTGGCCCCTTGGCTTTGTTTTGGTTTTTAAAAACAATAAATAGGGGGTTTTATTTAAATACAAGCTGTCATCTCTATTAAAAACTCAAGAGACAGCAGATTTTTCATGAGCATTATTCAGACTTGATGACAGTTGACACATTTTTTTTTTTCCCCCTACCCTCTTGGTGACCCCCAAACTTAACTATCCCTGCAAGGTCAGTTTTATCCAGGAACACATTTTAACAGTGTCCCCAAATTTGCCTTTGGGAATTACCTGCTGGCCAGATTTCACTAGGAAGACAATTATTTTGGGTGACAGGTATACATTACCAATTACCTGTTGTTCATTGAGTGCTTTCTGTTTACCACGCTACCTGTATCCAGAATAACTTTGCTCCAGCGTATCATTCTGGAGAGGGTCATCCTGTTGTGCCAGGATGGCGGTGTGTCCTCCTACTCTTGCAGATTGTTCTCTCTTGTGAACAAATGAAGCTTTATAGCAAAGTAACCTGGAATGAAAAAGGACTCCTAGATCAAGCTGTATCTCTTTATCTACAAATTCCTAGTAAGTGTTGCAATTTTTCAAGTAAAGATGTTTACTAAACACCACTGAATGTGTAAAATAATTTACTGTAATAGCCAATGAGCTCACCACTCTCATCAATTACTATGACTATGCTACTTCATTCTTGTTGCTCAACAGCTCTTAGGAGAACTGTGATTTGAACAATCAGGTGCTGTACCATTTAAAGATTGGTGTGGGCTCTGGCAAAATTTGCCAATGGCTGAGTAGTTCTGAGTCAGGTAACACAGATGGTAATTTTGTTGGCTAACACCCTGTTTTCTCAGCTCTGCAGCTCTGCCTTGCCTTTGGAAGATGGAGGCCAGCTATGAAATGACAAATCTAGTGTTTAGTAAAATATCAGGTTCAACACAGGAGCTAATGAATCATCATTTCACAAGTTGGCACTCAAAAGGCTGAAGCCTGACCTCGTTAAGCATGATTTATAGCTAGTGTGGGATTCTGAAAGATTACATTTCTGCAAGAACAGAATAATTAAATGAAGGGAAGCAGTATCTTAGACTATGTGATGGCATGACAGCAAAATAAAGGCCAGAACTCATCTCCCACAAGGAAGAACAAAATGCCAATTAAACCACTTTACATTGCTCCATATGTAACTGAGATAGTAACTACAAGTTTCCTGTCAATGCAAGACTTGCTGTCCAATACAGCTTAATTTAGAAAGTTCAGAAAACATGAAACTTCTCCGAATGTCTAGCAGTTAAATTAAACCGGAAAGGTAAAAATTGCTCTTCAAGAACTTAGATTTGTGTTTCTTAGATTAGAAATGCTGCAGCCTGCATTCTCCAATGTAAGGCCAGGCGTATGGCTGACGTGTCAGTGTCTCTGACAGTGCTGTGGAAAGCTCAATCTGTGAACATGTAGGTAATACATAGTGACACTCAGGGCCGATGTTTACCAGTGACAACCCTAATTCCTTAGTTCTGGAGTTTGGACTTGAGAGGAAGACCTCCCACAAACGCCAAGTTGTCCTATATAATTGGTTCGTTTCTTTGGGATACACCCTAAGAATTTAATTTATCAACCTAGTAATTTATTATTATAACATCTGCATGCTGTAACTCTTTGATACACACCATATAAAATGATGTGGGCCCACTTGTGCTATTTCTAGCAATTAGGTTGTCTTACTTGAAATCCGCGCCTTGGAGTTGTTCAGACGTCTCATGCTCTCTGTTGTGCCAGGGGATAACATTCTTGCTCCTCGCCAAGCTGCGCTGGTCAGCAGGACCTGGTACAGCGCCATTGGCGATGCTCTTCCTCCTGCCCCGGAGGGCATCTGGACCGGTGTCGCAGGGCTGTTTGTCCAGCGCTGACCGGGCTGGGACAGGCTGGGACAAGAAAACTGGGGATGTTCAGGTGCTCAGCCAGCTAGGCTTTAAAAAAAGAAATGAGGAATGTCTGCCTACACAGAAAGTTTTGGATGCCTTTGCGCTCCAAGGTGAGGCAATTTTTAAATGCATAGAGTCCCCCAAAGATGGACAAGAAAATGAAAGTTGTTGCACCCTCAGATACTATTACATAAATAAGCCCCAGAGCTTTACCTTACAGGCAAACTACAACGTTGGAAATGTACACAGCTAAAGCACACACTGCTCAAACTCACACCGTCTTAAAAAACCCTGTATTTGAGATCACTTTCTTCTTTTTAATTTCTTTTTTTAAAAAAAGCCATTATGTGCAATCTTTGTGCTTCAAAAACCTTTAAGATACAAATCACAAGCAGATTCCTAGTGTTAAGCGAAAAAAACCCAACCAAAATAAAACCCCAAAACCACAACTGCCAGTTTAGTCAGTAGAGGTTAAGCTCCAGCTTGGAGGTGTCATACAGCGCTCAGGTGGTTTGCTTGCCTAACAAGTGAGTAGAAATACTTAGCAGAAAATGTCCCAGTAATCAAATAGCTGCACCAGGCAAGATCTGAGAGACTAAATATACTCAGAAGCGTGATCTGAATGTGAGAAGTAACACACTGGGTCAGATTACACTCACAGGAGGATAAATAAAGCACATGGTTTGAGACAGTCCAGCATTTGAAGCGGGCACAGGAGGCCTTCATGGATTAAAATTAAAAAAAAAAAAAAAAAAAAAAAAATCCATATTTGCTTTTACAGCAAAAAGTGAGTCCTGTTAGGGCTACAAAGCCTGTTTCGGACCATGCACAAACAGGAAGACTAGCCTGCGTCAGCTATCGGCCGGGGAGGGAGGTGCACAGCTGGACCCCGGTGCACCAGGATGAGCCAGGAGAGCTCGGGAAGGGCGGTGGGGGCACCTGAGCGGTAGTGCAAGTGATCCCTCTGTGTTCCAGCAACAGCCAGACCTGCACGGATGACAGGACCTTTCATGAGAGAGCCAGGAATCCTCGTCAGGAGGATGGGGCGGGGAATTACACTGCTTATACCGTATAGAGGAAAATCCACAGCACGTAGCAACCAGCTCTAAGCTGCTACAGCAAAGAACATTTTTTTAAAAAAAAAAAAAAAAATCAGGTGAAGGAGGAAGTGATCACAGAGAGACAAATCAGTAGAAAACACAGTAGCACAAGAATGAGCAGATAATAGAAGGCAATGGCACTTGGAGCTAGCTCGTGGAGCTGAGATATGTGTTCACCATTCTGAAAACACTCTTACATAAAAATAAGCATAAAATAAATGATGCTGTGGTAATGTAACTCTGCATGTTTAGCTTTAGCATGTTTATCTTTACTATATTCACCTTGTTTAAATTCTATGCTCCTTCAGCCAGGCATGTCATCCAGCAAGGACTTACTTACTTACTTTCTTTTTCTGTCAGAGGAAAAACGCTGTACTGGAAAAGCAGGCTAGTTTGGAAATTATTAAAAACAACAAGAAAAAAAAAACACCTTTTTTTTTTTTTTTTTTTTTTTAGTAATTTTTCTTTTTACATCTTTCTTCCAAAGCAGACCCTTGGAAGTTAATGCATATATAACCTCTCCTTTTTAAAGGTATGTCTTTGCAAAGGAGTAGCCAATTTTGTGAGGCAAGACAGAAATATCTTCCTACGGGCTATAGTTGGAAGCCTTGAAAAATGCGTTCAAGAAACTTGGGATATGAGAGGGTCAAGTCTGATTGCCATAAGTAGAATGTCATTAAGTGCAAGCTGTACATTATCTCACAAACTAATAAGAGTATTTATATGCAATCCAGCAAAAAAGGCTGTGTATTGGAATTATAGGAAACAAGCAAAGAGTCCAAGATGGACAAGTTTCATAGTTTGAATGGCCAAATCAAAACAGAAAGCCAAGCACAGAGAGCACAAAGGGATACTCAGTTCAAAGCCTGACGCTGTCAACTGAGGAGACCAGGCAGCTTGCTGCTGAGTGTCCATTTAATACAAGGACTGGCACTCAGAATATTTAAAAAAAAAAAAAAAAAAAAGGGGTGGGTGGGAGTGAGCTGGCCTCAAAGGTTTAACTCTGCTTTTGTTACCAACGTTCTCTAAGTTCCTGTGTTTGTTTTGCTGAAGCATTTGTAGCCCACAGCGTGCTTCAGTCCCTTTGATCAAAATCAGCTTTAAAAGCATGCTCAGGGTTTGGGTCAGTCATTTAGATGCAAGCACTGACTACGATTCAGCCAACAAAAGAACAGTTAGGTGCAGGCCACCCATACAGCTTTTCATATTAATGAGCACAAGTCCTTTAGTCTTGCAAACTGGGGTGTCTGTGTGGGATTTTTGCACCAAAGGGCTGACGTGCAATGCTCAGGAAGTCTATACAGCACTATGGTAATCAAGAGAACACATGGTGAGACATTTGGCATCTGGTCTATAGAAGAGCCTCGACCCCTACATTTCATTAGGGGACATGACAATTTCTTTCAGAGCTGCTAAGCCAGCTGGCCAAAAATTGTTCTTCTTTTCTCATCCACTGCACACTGACAGGGAAGTTAGTTAATTGAACAGAAATTCTCCCCATTATCTCTGAGCATCAAAGCAAAGAACTAAAAAAAAAAAGAATAAAAAAAATCATTTTGTGCCCTGGCTGATACGTTTTTCTAAGAGCTTTGTAAGATTGAGTCAACCAGTGCTATCAACATCAATTTTAACAAATATTTTTACTTCCAAAAGTATTGTGCTAAATCAAGAGTGCCACACGTATCTGCCTTCCACAAAGTGCAGGACAGCTACTGCTGCGCAAAAGTAGGTGCCAGGGTCAGTACCCAAAGACAGTTACCCTTTACCTTCAAACTTGGTCGTGCCTTCCTGAGTGAGAATTTCAGGGGTTCATCTTTCAGAAGTCCTTGGAGCTTCTGTAGCTGAAACCTGGCTCTTGGCCCATGTGTGGATAACTCAGCTGCTGTGGAGTGCTGGTGAGCTTTCAGCTTGGTATCATCAAACGTAGTTTGCAGAATCCGCTTAGCAACTTCACAAAGCCAACAACAGCAAAAACAGGCAATAGAAACCAGTTAGATGGAAAAGATAAGTTTTGGCTGTTTGAACTAAAAAAAAAGTAGGCTAAAATCCTCTGTTGCAACCAACCAACCATTCACACAAGGATTCACTAGAACAAATGATACAGGTATTAGAATAATGGCTAGTGCCTACAAAGACAATCCACTGTCCTGTAGGCTCCCTATATAACACTCTCAAAAGCAGAATTGACCCTGACTGCTTCCAAAAGCATTTCTCTGTAAGAAGCACTTGAGAAGAACCGCACGAAGCAAGTGTTTTGGAAGTTACAGGGTAACGTGCAGCAGAAAAGTTGTAAGAGATGAAAGATTCTAGCAAGCACAATAACTCTATTACTTTCTGCTTGTAAACATTCCAGTGAATCTCAGATGGTTCTGGGCAAAAAGAAACACATGGCAAACTTTTCAAAATACTGTTTCATAACGAAATACAACTTTGTCTTTTACTGTTTGTGTGAGAACGTGAGGTTACACACTGACCGCCTCACCAAGGCACACTACAGGCTGCTGTGATAGCGTGCAGATTTCACTGGCTCATCTCAGCCCCCCTCTGGACCAATTATCTGGTATTGCTTACAGTCTGAGAGGTAGCCTGTGGTCTGACCTTGGCAACAACAAAAGCTGATTGTCATCAGTCTTTATAAAGGAAGATCAGGCAGCCAGCAGAGCTAACTTTACAGAAGAATAAGCCAAGAAGGATCTATACCTCCCTGTCATATTTTACTATAGACAAAGGAACTAAGGCTAAGAAGTTGGGTAAATGGAGGGGTAAAATTGGAGTATGGCCAAGGTCTTGCATCCTAAGATGCCTCATTTGCTATAGTACGAACAGTTTTGCTGTACATGGATCTCCTTGCTAAACCTCTTCGCAAACTCCCTTCCTTGACGGCAGAACCAAACAAGCTTCGGGACCGTATGTCAGAGCTTCAAGTTAAAAGCTTTGTGATTAGTTAATTTTACAGATCCATTACCAGTCTCTGGGGCTGTTATCATGAAGAGCTCAGGTGGCTTCTTGTAAAGATCAAAATCAATGTGCCGTTTGTCCCAGCTCCATCTGTCTCGTGACAGCACTGGCTCCATGTTAGCATGTAGAGCATTCTCCTGCCATTTCTAAATGAAAATTGAATCCCTTTAAGAAGCCAGGCCAAAATCACCAGGGAGGATTAAATACATTAGCCAGATTATTGGGTAGCAATCTAACAACTACCATAATAGAATCTCACCATAGTCCAGACTTCACTACACAAGACTATTTCTCTCTGTAAGTAGTCTTTCAATTTGTTATGTTTGATACACATGAATAAGAACAAAAATCCATTTCATGAGCAAGCTGCTGATACTCTAGTACTGAGCTGTTACCTAACATACAGGCACTTACAGTATACTTGAGAAATACCTGGCAGGGGATTCAATTTCATATTTATGTCACATTTCTCTGCAGTGCTATAAGGGGTTGATGCACCTTCCTGTATTTCATATACAGCTGCTAAACTCGCAGGTGAACGCGGACCATCCCTCCCGTCCACGAGACTCCATGTCAGTATCCTCCTCCACACAATGAGGCTGTGAGAGGACAGACCCAATCCAAAACCTAACTAGTTATTTATCTTATCCCAGCGGTAAGAAGTGAAGTAGCTGTACAGAATTGCCAGAACAGAGAGAGCTATGTATCATCTCAAGTATAATCTTAAAGCATCGTGCTTTTAGAAAGCAGAAGCTGTCCTAGTGCTTCTAAAAATACAATCATTAGTATTAAAGTCTTGGGGCCAAGAGCCCAGGTGTCCTGACGAAGCAGGTGAGAGAAGCAGCATGTGCACTGGAATCATGGCAGGAATATTCATCATCGCAATTGCAAAACAGAGTTCAACTTCTTGTGGTCCTCTGACTACCCACTGCTGAAATAGCAGTTAGATTTTTTCAGACAAAACTATCTTTCCTAAGCTACAAATTAACTCCCACTGTCTGTTGTTAGCCCTGTAACTGCTAAGTTTTAGGTAAAACAGTGAAAGTAAGAGATAGCTGAGTCAGTGCAGAAACTGTATGGAGATATTTTAGGAAACCAGAAGAACTCTAAGAACTTTTTTGCCTCCCAAGGGATGGTGTTACAAAAGATGGTCAAATTCTGTGTTTGCGAAGAAAACCAGAAATGGTTAAAGCAGCAACATATCAATACCAGACTGCTTCAGAATGGGATCCTAACAGCTTTCTGCTTTCGTTCCATCTTTCAGGTAACATGAATGGTAAGTTCAGAATCAACCTTCATTATCCAACATAATGCTGGTCATGCTCGTGAGGTCCCTGCTTGAGCAGAAAGAGTCTCCTTCCTCTTTTCTCACAGCTCCATGGCTAGCATTGATGCTACACAGCTATTGGTACTGCCAGGTTACACTTAGTGTCATTCAGGGTAAGATGTCAGCTCTCTTCCCCTCTCCCATCCCATCAGTAGGTGCCAATGGTCAATACAACATACTAGTCAACTGCTAGTCCCACACCAAGTATCAGTGTCCCCCATTTATTTCAGTTCAGTAACTCTGGTGTCAATCATCAGCTGCTGCACTGTAAGCATGCTGACCCTTTCTCAGCTTGTCAGTTTTTTCTCCTGTACTGCCTAGTTCCCCTCCTCTTTTTTATCTCTTTGGCAAAAGGCACCAGCATACCATACTGGTTGGCTTCTGTTACTCTTGGTCTGTGAATCTTCTCTGCTCCTTCATGAGAAGATACATTCTCCAGCATCAAGGATCAGAAAAAAGCACTTTGTTTTCTCTAAACATTTCACTTCAGCTATACTCTAACCTTTTTAAAGAAACTACTTTAATTTGTATGAAAAAAAAAAAAATAAATAAAACCTGAAAATTAAATGAACACGCACAGATACAATACCGAGCCTCCAAGCATTCAGCTTGTTCCACCCTGTGCTGCGACTGTGTTCAACTAATTTGGTAGAATTTACTGATCCTGCAAAAAAAACCCTCTTCTATTCCCTTTATTTCCTCATTTTGCCAATTCTAATAACATCCAATTTTCTTCCCAACAGCAGACCACGTGTGCTTGAGTGTACACAATGCTAAAGACCGTTCAAAACAGGGAATTGTAAACTAGTCAGGTTGATGATCCAGTAAAATGGCAGAAAACTAGAAGCTAAATAGTAAAGAACAGGAGAAGGGAGAGAGGACACAGGGCAGGAAGAAACTGATAGAGAACACAATGGTGGAGAACAAACACCCCATAAAACTGTAACTACAAACCATAAATAAAAGACGGAGGAAAAATAAGCAGTGAGGGAATTTGGAAACACAAAGGAAGGCTACAATTAGATTGGCAACTTATGAAGAACAGCCTGGAATCCATTCATCATGGAATGCAATATTATGATTTTTCTGACACTAAACCCCACTTGTAAATGTAAAACAAAGAACTCTACAGTCCATTAATACCTATTAATATCCAATTAACATTGGCAAATGGGTGTTCTGTATGTGTTCAGGGTAGAATTGTGTATCCAAACAAAATATCACCTGGGTGAGCTAGATGCTGATGCACCTAAATTGCAAATATAGGTGTCACCCTCAAAAGAGCTGCCTAGGCTGTACCCCTCAAAAGAGACTTCCATATGCTAAAGCAGTCTGCCTCTTTCAAGTCTCCCAAAATGCTTGAGTTCACTTTGGACTATTCATTTAAGTTTTCGTTACCTCACTTAACTCTTCCAGACGTGCCTCATCAGGCATCTGAGGGTGCAGGTTGCTTTCAATGCTGCTCTTAAATCCAGAAAATACAAATCCATCTGGTGACAGCCACATACTCTTGGATTTTGCAAAGGATTCCTTACAGGCAGCAACCACATCGACTGGGTCAAATGTGGCTGACAGATACTCAGGACAATAAGTGAATCTGTTCTTTGGTTCCTACAAAAAAAAAGATTTTTTGGGTTTTTTTGTTAATGTGAATTCCCCTCTGCTGGGAGAGGAGCCCATAAGGCACAGAACCAGTATCATTTCTTTCCTTAAGACTGCAAGTAATCATAGATCAAAATGACACAAAATATATATCATTACATATTAAAAAATGTTTTTAAATTTCATTCTATTATGAGCCAACGATGGATTTAATGACAAGTGGTATAATGGGATCTCTGTAAAATAATTACAGAAAGAAATATCTTTAATATTATTTGTGCAAAAAGAGAACTGTAGTTCCTATCATGAACAGTTTTCACAGAGCTATAGTAATTTCCACTACTGATAGGAAAACAACATTTGTTATTAAGATTCCAGCCAGCCATCCAGACAAAGGCAGATAACTGCAATTCTTCAAACGTGTTCTTAAATGTGTTCTTCAAATCACTTATTACTGCATACACCAACACTATGATTACTCAAATTCTCCCACTTATAAATGTGTGGGACTCAGAACTGAAAGTGACCACCTAGGTTATCAAACTCCACAGTCAAAACGACAGCCCAAGTCATGGAGACAAGACAACTTGACTATAAGGGACAGCATCAAGAGCAGACTTTTACACCAGAGTACCTCTCAGACTGAGATCTTTTTGGATACCAACTTCCCTTCCTATGCACTAACATGGGAGTTACTAGTGTAAACCTATTTAATTCATCTCTCTCTTTCCACCACTACACAGAGCAAGCAAAGATCTTCCATTTGTGTGTCTCAATTCACCTTTGCCATTTCCTGGCGAAGATGCTTCTTTGCAAGTTCTGCAGAATTCAGGCTCTGACAGCTGTAGTTAAAGACAGATTTGCCATCAACAGGAGAAATCCTGAAAGCTTCAAACTTTGGCTTTTTCATCTTTCCTTTGAGTTGGCATACAGCACCAATGTTAGCCTGCAAAGAGAGATTACATCCGAGTTCTGTCTAAATTGGTAATTCAGAGCGTTACGAAAAAATTATAAACAAGCAAATGATTCTGCAAACGTTAAAAAAACCAACTTTAACAAAACAAAGCAAAATCTATATATAGATATACTACACAACACCTCTTTGTCAATAAAATACTCCACAGAAGACTTTATTAAAAAAAATAGCACCATTTCACCTTGCATATGACGTTCTGCAAGACTAACGGCAGTAGGCTGGAGGCAAGCACTCACCAGAGAGTGATTTCTACTTACAGATCTAAACAGTTGTTCTGGAGAGCTGATGTTGATTGTCTTCAAACGAAATAAGATTAGTTCTTTCATTTCTATGATTCCACTAACACCCCAGCAAATGCAGTGACATGGGAAACACCATTCGTTAGAACTCTTCAAATTTCTCTACTGACACAGTATAATTAAACCCTCACACCTTTTCATTGACTTAATGAAAGAGTAGAACGTCATTCTACTGTGTTTATGGTAATTATGGCTTTGAATTCAGACTCTGCCATAATAGGTAATTACAGCAAGAGAGTAAAATTGCATCTTGGATGTCACTGCCCTATGACACCCACTTCCTTTTTTTTTTTTTTTAACTTTTTTTTTTTTTTTAATCAAAAAGCCTGAAAGGTTACTTTACCTGCTATTAAAAAAGAATTTCATATTTTCTTTTCTGTAGAGGACCTCCCAGTTCCTCTATTATCCTCTTGATTCAAAAGCATGTGTAAAACGAAAACTGGTTAAAACATGTACACTGGGAAGACTGTTAACTTTATACAAATAACAAAGTAACTCTACACTTAATTTCTACAGAATGATTAGGCCTAAAAGCTCTGCTGCTCTCATCCTCCTATGATGTTACAAACGCACCAGGAACAATTACTTAATATAGTCTTCTTTTCTAGCCTCATGTAATACTCCTTTATCAACGGACTGACTGAAAAAGGAAATACTTAAAAGTTAAATTTCTTTCAATATCTCCAAGACAGTACCCTTATACAGGAACGTAGATTTCCACATATCAGGCAAAACCTCTTTGTATTAAAATATATACAGGAAAAAACATTCAGAACTATTCTTCACAAACCACACGATGGCTAGAGTCCTCAGCTAAGCAATATACTCCAAAAACCAATTCAGACTCCCAGGAAACATGCGGGATACCCCTTCTTTGATGTCTATATTCACAGGAAAGGGTTTCGTTTCAACGCGTTTCCCCTTAAGCAACAGAAGGGTAGACGGACGCTGGTAAAAAGCCGGAAGAGGTTCATTTCCTTAAAGCTCAGCTCAGCTCTGTCTGCAACTGCTGGTTTTATTTAGTCAAGAATAAACGCATTCTGGTTGCCCAAAGGCAAGCAGGTCTTTCACACGGCGGGAGAAGAAAGCACAATTTTCACATAAGCTTAGTTGGCTTGGACCCCCGCAAGCATCTGAAGCCTGGATGACATGCTAAAGCACAATGGGGGAGCCATGGAGAAGAAAGAGACAAAGAAAAATAGGAACCAAATGCAAAAAGAAATTACAAGTCCTTCAAATAATCAGTTTCCTTACCGCTCACACAGTATCTCCTCTGTTTACCTGTAAGCATTAGAATTGTTTTCCTCTTTGAGAAGCAATTACATTTGCAATTCAACTTTTGCAAAACAAAATTACCCTGCATTTTTTTAATAATGTTTGCACAATACCTACAAACACCTTACCAAAAGTTTTTAAGTCTAATGAGTCATTGTTTCAGAAGAAGAAGGAGGTGTTGATTAAGGATATGTTTTGCAACTATTAGGCTTGCCTCTCGCATATCGCGAACTACTCACCCCAACATGGTTTCTTTCAAAAAATGTTTTGTCTGCTATTTCTTTCTTCTGCTGCACACAGATTTCATTGTAGTTATCTAACGAAGAATATACTGCCTGTTTCACTCTGCTAACTTTTCCTGGTACTGTATAATCATCAGATGAAACCGAGAGTAAAGGAGGTTTCTGACTGAAGAGATCCTCATCAGTTAGGGGAACTCCATACTCGTGACTCAAGACTCTGATCATCTCTGCTGAGGGCAGCAGATCCCCATGAATTACATCCCTCAACCTCTTACTGTGACAGAGGTAACTGAGCCTACAAATAGACATCGACATTTTATTAGTTTACAAAAACTTTACTCCACCAAATCGTTACAGTTAATATTACTGCGGAAAAACTATACAACCTTCTTGAAACATCTATTTATTAAAAGTTCAGGTCAGTTCATGTACGCTGGTATTTAGCAGCAATAAAGAAAGTTAGCAGTTTAATAAACCTACTAGGAATATTCTAGGAATGCTGCTGGCACTATATTTAGCTGCAAGTTAACGATTAGTTGCTGAATTTCTCTAGCCTCTGGCTGGAAAGGCAATAAAGCAGTCCCTTCATGCACACTGGTTCTAGTGTATGACCCATATTTATGTTGAACACCCTCTAAAATCCATCCTGCCTTACGTCTTGTTCTGATCAAATTTCATTCTATATGCTATTCATGACAACACTTACCTCACATCTGATTTCATTCACTAAATTTGGCCTGCAAAGCCTAGTGTTAACACAAAAGTGGTTCTAAATATATGACAGCTATTGAACACCATACACATTTTGTATACACACACTGAAATTCAATTCTCAGCCTCTCTGGCTCAGGCCACAGCAGAAGCCACAAAATAAAGTGACTTACCTAATAGCCAAACATAGTATTAAGATCCTTTGCTAAAACTGGAAATCTGTTAACTCATTTATCACATAACTATTCTTTATTTGGGGAGAGTAACTTTGCAACGTACTGTAAAAGAATTCAGTTGTAAAATTATTGCAACATTATTTTCTTACCATTACTTCTGAATACATACAACTGATAAATAACATTAATTTCAAAGTTGCATCAGCATTAATGACACAAATTGAGTTTATATCGGTATGTTAAAAATTAAATTGGCCATTGTGCATATGGATCATGTGCATTAGTTTTTCTACAGTTAAAATTCATTTTCTGGCTAATTCTAGCAGAAGGAAATCTATCAGGAAGCAGCAGTTTCTGTTGTGCACACATTAAACCAGTGACTGACTACAGCAAACCAAAACCCAATAAAACAGGAGTTCTACAAGTTAGAGACTGCTCTTGAACACAGTTCACAGTCTGTATACTCCAGTGAAGAATTTATTTGTACTTCTCTGAATAATTACAGACACAGCAGAATGAGGGTATGGCAAAAAGGACTAACATCCAGCTCCCGGCAGACAATATTCACTCATCTGTGATGGTGGGTTGCTGAAAAGAGCTGGTCTCTAGAAAGACATTGTCTCAGCCACTAAAGATGCTTTTACTGAGGTTCTCCCTGATTTGATAGCAATGAGTACTATCAAGTATAGTAATCGTTCCTGCAGCTTCCCTTGTCTCTAGTGCAAAAATAACCCCCTGCGTTTAAAATTATTCCAGCCATCCCAAAACCTTCACTTTCACTGCAGGAACCTGAGCTGCAGCTATCTAGCAAGTTGTGCACAGCAGTCAACCTGCTGATTTAATTTTCTTTTTTTTTAGACAGGAGATACTACTAATAAAATGTCACAAGAAAATTAACTACCAAGTACCTAAAATATGCAGTATTACATTATTTTCTACCTTAAACATTGCCAGCATGTAGCTAAAGGAAGAAAAGTATGTACCAACCATTGTTGAAGAAAAAAATAAAAAGAAAAAAAGGACTTTTAAGGACATCACAGTGATGGCCACCGGTCACTTTCATATTGTATTCTTTTCCTCACCATCTCACAGAATAAACATGAAACAAATTACAGATACGTGAAGAAGTACCCAAGTTACATGCAGATCGTTAGAATGAATATACTTCAGAACTTAAAGTGTAAAGGCTTGGCTCTTCATTAGCTTAATGAAGTTAAGTTTCATTAGTCATCAGCAAATAAACAGTTCTTGAACCTGAATGGGTCAGCCAACAAGGGGAAACAGATAGGTATACTAAACCAGTCTGCTAAATCAGAGGTGTACTGCATTCATTTTTCAGCAACTGCCTTGACATATGCAAAATAAAACTTGTAGTAGATGGGTAATCCATATGTAATATACATTATTGAGTATGTTTTACCAAAAAGCAAGCATGTAGGAGGGCAAGGGGGAAGGCTGCTAGGAGATTATGTGTATATTATTGCACATTAACAAGAATTTTTTACGAAATCAGATTGATGTCTAGGAGACATTTACTCTTTCTTGTCTAAGGACTAAATGTCCCCATTCATTTCAAATAAGCTTTACAGGATTTCAGTTCAGAAGTTAATCTAAACAAGCCAGCCTATTTCTAGCAAGAAAGAAAGCAATCACGGTTCATTTCTGCTTTCTAAACCCAAGTTGCCCCTATCACAGATGGACGGTACCTTTTTCCACCTCTCGATAGATGTGTCTTAATTTACAAATAACAAAAAAACCACGCAAAGAAATTTTTTCATAGATGAGTAAAATATATAGATAGACAGAGATGGATGCACATAAGACTTCACTCACTTTCTTTTTCTTTAATCCATCTCATGAGATGTAATGTCAGAGATGCTTTAAGGCAAACAGCTGTGAATACCTGCATGTTGACAAAGTGAGCAACCTGGCAGAGATCCAGCAATAAATCATGCAACAAAACCCCCAAACAAAAAGCCAGGAAAAGGAAACGTATTCTCCCAACTCTCACAAAATTCTTCCCTTCTCTAGTTTCCTTAGGAGAACTGGTTTTAGAATTCCCCACTTAGTTCAAGTGACTTTCTGGATCTATCAAGTCCTATTTGGCCTCCTGCTTTACTCCACCTCTATGAGATCAGAGCAGAGAAGTAAACCCTTCCCAGCTGATGCTTCTGACACCGTAATCTTCTCTTCCTTCAGGTTGTATTATGTTCAGATATTTTCTGATATACTATCCTACTGATACACCTCTCTCCTCTTCTTTACAAAGTATAAATTCCTGCCCAAACCAAAAGTGGGCTCACCAATATCCAGTTACCACTACAGCAGCAGTTAGAAAACCATGTTCTTCTGTCTTACCACACCTGATCTAAAATCTGACTTACCCATCAGGCCCACAGACTGCTTTCATCACAGAAAAGATATCCAAGGGTATTATTTTTTGTATCAAATATTCACTCTGCTTTGCTAACATTTAACTTCTTAATTTCTTGGCTATGAACCTGGACGAGTCATACCTGGACAAGGCTTGGAAACATGCCGAACGAACCATACCTCTGACATAAAGCAGAGGCTGTTTTGTTAGAGTGAAGAGGGGCTTGCAGAGGCAGAAATGATAAAAGATAGCTTCCAGGTCTGTATACAGGCGTTGATGGAAAGACAGTTGAGAGTTATATAGTATTTCCAGTTGTCCATCTTCATGTCTGTAAGTCCTGCAACAAAGTACCCCAATGACAAGGTTAAAACAATCAGCCTGTATCTTAGGTTTCCTCAGTTCTGCAGTATAATTACTCTCTCTCATGAAACTGCTTTGCTTTTGTCCTTTAGATGGAACCTCTTACTCTACAGCCTTCACTTCACATGAACTGTTCTAAAAAATTAGTTTTGGACAAAATTACAAAGAAAATATCAAAACTCTCATGACATAACTGAGTTGCATATGTTTTCTTTTTAAGTCGCATGGCAAACATTTGAAAGGAAGCTCACCTCAGTTTCATCAGTGTTGTGCCCCTTACCAGCCTTATTATAGCTACAGAAGTATTATATAAATATTTCTACTACAAATACCAAAATTAATATTGCAACAGTAAAACAAAGCTTCAATTTAGGTTATAGGCGAGCACTGACAAGAGACAACTTTTCATGCAATAAATAATTTCAGTAACTGCCATGAAGTGACTTGCATCAAAAACAAATAAAATCAAACAAAACAACAAACCGCCACAGGAAAGCTTTAACAACATGCTACAGTGCTGGAAAAAAAATCAATTATTTTTTAAGCACGAAATTTGAGGGAAACATTCACTGTGAGTTTGTCACATTTTCCCCTAAACTCAAAGCAAGAAACAGCTTGAAGTCCAGCTTCCTCATGGTGACTATTTTTGTTTTAGATCCCGTGGAGTATCTTTTTTTATTAGTCAGAATTGGCAGATTATAGCGTTGTTTCCACAAACCAAGCAGCAGCTTAACAAAAAAAGTACATGTTGCCATCTTCCTCCTTTTAACTTTACATGGATGATCTATGGTGTAATGTGATAAAGATGAGAAGATTATGTCTCAAGTGAAGCAGCCACTGGGACTCATATCCACTAAAACCGCACAGAAAGCATCAGGTATGTACTTGCCCATGTATCTTTGTATAGAAAGGGATGGGGGACGTATAAATCAAATTAAAATCTCTGAATCTAAAGAAATAACTGATGAAAAACCTCAAACTCTCTTACCTTTCAAAGTGTTTATCCCATAGTTTCTTGATTGCTTTGTCTTTTAATCCCTCCAAGACAAAGAGATGAGTTGCTCCATCCAATAAGTGAAAACCAGTAACAATATCCAACTCAGAAACTTTTTCAACTGTGGTTTTCAGTTTTAATGCAGCGAGAGCCATTCCAATTAAGTGTACAGGAGAGCAGTCCAGCTGGAGGGCTTTAGCATTGATTTCTGTAATCTCTTCCACCAAATCATGTAATAATGATGAATTACTGTAGTCAAAAATGTAGATTATACAACCATATGGGCAATTTGTGACTTGAGCATCAGCAATTTCTGCATGCATTCCCAATGGCACAGCTATTTCCACTCTTACTTTCAAAAGCGAGTCTGATTCTAGATAATGTCCCATGGGTAGCAGGGAAGAACTACTCACTGATTCTGTTATTTTCTCATTTTTATCCTCCTCACTGAAAGCAGCTGTATTTGGAGCTGAACAGTTTCGGATGGGAGCACTGACAGCCAAGTACTTTTTACCCAACAATAAATCAGTTAGACTGACTTTAGCTACCCCATGTGGATGCCACACTTTGTTCCTCGTAAAAGAATTACAGATTGTGGATTTGCGAGCAAGGAAGCTCACCTTACCCACTTTTTCATCAGCTTCATCCTCCCCAAACAAACACGACTTTTTTCTGTTGTTTTCCATCTTTTTATCCCGGTCATGAACTTCAATCTCCAAAGGTGGACCTCTAAGATATCTCTGTAACTCCCCAGGTTTCATTGTCCCTGTTAGAAGTACATTAACGTCCTTAAAGTAGACATGAGTTCCATGGATTTGCCCATGAGTTCGATGAGATGGGAAGTTGTGAAATTTGTATTTGCAGTAGGTGGGAACACACAATCTCTAAAGAACAAAAACCAGGGAGAAACAGATATTTGTAGCGTTAACCTTTCTCCTTTTTATTTTTAAGCTCACAGAACAATCAGCTTTTCTAGCAGATAAGGTACGGGGGACATACTTCATGGTGCAAATTATGGTCTTCCAAGGCAGCAGAGAGGCCATTCTCCATGCCTGGATCCGGGGGTTGGGGAATATACTACGCCCTTCGTTTGCCTGCCCTCAACTTTGTTGACCTTCCAAATATGTCAGAAAAACTCTCCTTGTTTCTAGATCATTAAAGGAGCATGCTGGGGACTGCAATAGCTCCTAGACCTTTTTTGTTTCTCCCTATGCATTCATCTGTAGGATTTGAGGCCTAAAATAAATGCCTATAGCTAGAAGTTAGGAAACTCAGCAAGTATCCAGAGACACTGTATGGAATGGACTGTATGAGCTCCATTACTAGCCATTTGTTTATAAATCTGGGGAAGCAAATAGGGGGATTCACTCCATAATACTTGTTGCAGTTCCTCCATCTAAGCGTCCATCAGCATTACGGCAGCCTGCATGGAGTGGAGGCTACCTGTCAAGGACTATCCTGACAATTCCAAATTTGAAACAGTTCGTTATTTCATACAGCACCCCACTTGGCAAGGGAAACAAAGTCAAAACAACCGTGGTCACTCTGCAGATTGCATTAGAAACTACAGAGTGGTTTTGTCTCCATCATTTAATATGTTGCACAGTTACCGACATTTTTTCCCGTTTCTCTTCATAAATGTTAAGCCAATTCGCCTAGCCTGCCACAAGCCCTGCAGTGTAAAACTCCACCACAGAACGATATGCGCCATTATAAAGTTCCTGACATAATATTATTAAACTATTTTCAGAAAAACAACAACAAAACATCCTACTAATGTTCAGGATCAGGCTGATGCAACTTGGACCAGATCTTTCATATACTATTCCCCTATAATTCCACCTCAGCCGAGGATCAAGAAAATAGCTCCTGAAATCAAAGGTCTTTGACCTTAATTTCATTTTCACATCAACCTCATATAATACTTAGAAAAGAGCCTTTTAAAAATAGCATTTCTTTAAGCCTAAAAATGCAACCATTTTACAAGAGAACATATTTTCTAACTCATCTCTCAAAATTTACAAATATAAGACCAGAAACTTTAAAATATATTCTCACCAATATAGAACCTTTTTTGTGCACAGCATTTTTTAAGATGTAAAACATTCGCTTTTTTTTTTTAAGTTAAATACTATTTTTACCCCAGGAATAGAAGTTGTTCTAATGAGCAAGTCAACACGTTGAAAACAATATAGCGCTGTGACCGAACTAGATCTTCTCTGGCTTACTCGAGATCCACTGCTCAGAAATCAAAATGGAATGACTATATACAAATTATTGCCCTTGGAAAACACAAGGATTGCTGTTTTGCTGCCACGTTTTTCAGGAAATATGTTAGCCATATTCTCCAATTTTGCTACTAATAAGGAAAGTTATCTTTAAAACCATGTCCATATTTTAAGCAAAGCTACTTGAGGGTAACAAGGAAATTCTTTCAGAAAGAAGTAGTGGTATCTGTTACCTGCAGCACTTCTATTGGTACAGGTGTGTTTGGGAGGCAGGTAGCCGAATTAATCCTTATAATCAGTGGATTCAATTCATGTCTTTGTCTTTCAGACAGAAGAGGTGTTTCCACAGTGAAAGTCACATAAGCATCTAAAACGTTAGGACTGTTTTCTGCCAGACGACTGATCACTGATTTTTCTCCTTTTTAAACATACAAGATTAAACACTTATAGAAGCAATCCCATCAAGGCACCCATATGTGATGCAATTAATTACAAATCTCCACTGACTTTGTATTAAAATAAAACAAAAGTATTGTTTTAACTGCTTCAAATATTATTTATCTTTTACAGTAAGGAAGAAAATAGTCCCCAAAGCAGTGTCAGAATGCCTACTTGGGCTAACTGCTGAAAGCACACAGAAGTTTATTTCTGTTTGAAGCTGTAAATATACAGTTTGCATAAACACAAAAATTAAAGCCATTTAGAGACTTTTCATCATAACTAAACTCTTCGTTAAAGGTAAACCAGCACCTTTAAACAAACTGGCTTCTCTGCAAGCAGCTGTGCCACATCCATACACTCAGCAGCTGAGTTCCATGCTGCATGACATACCGCTATTTCTGTCTGCATGCGCAGAACACAGGGGAGATTTAACCCACTACACACAAAAACAGGACAACATATATTAATAAAGAATGTTAACCTAGTAACAGTCAGAAAACCACAGAAATAACCCACTCTGACCAATATCCCACTTTCAACACATTCTGAATCAAAGAACTTAGATGTACATGCTGATGGAGAACTACAATGCAGAGTTATTTTTGACATCCGGCCCTTCAGAGCACACAGACTTCTGAACACACGTCAGCCTCCCCCAGATCGAAACCAAAATCCCAAATCTTTCTTAACCAGCCAGCTTTTATCCAGAACATGAAATTCCCCAGGGATCTTTCAAGACAGTTTCCACCAGGCAGACCCACCACCAGCACAGGTGTCTCAGAGGAGACATGGAGCACACCCAGCATGTCGCTCTTACCCTGCCCCTTCCTAACAGAGGGATACCTGAGAGGAGAGGCATGAGATCTAACTGCAGTGAAGCAATGCCGTATTTCTTTGCCATAGTAGCATCAATGCTTCTTTTAGGACCCAAACCTCTTCTACCTGTTGATGGAAGGCAGGGTTGGACTGAGTAAGAAGGAGGAAACATTTTGTTGCAATTAATCAAAGAAATAATTTAAAATTTACTGCAGTAGGTGGCATAATTCAGTATCAGCCTTAGAAAAAGATGTCGATTATACACTTTAACACCAACTTAGGCTAATATTTCAATATGCTCAAATTTCCATTGCACAGTCCACTATACTATATATAGAATCCCTACTTTACAAGAAAGTTAAATTTGCAACAGCAAGCATTAGAAGTTCATGGAATTACCAAAATAAAAGTTATCTTTGCCACCTTACTATTCTTTCCTTGCATATATGCATTACGACACATACATGGTACTCTTTGTGATACGTATTCTATTGTTTCCAGAAACCTGTATTTTATAACTTCACATCTACAAAACGGGAACGTTGTCATTCCTTTACCTCACAAGGATACCATGAAGATAAACTCATTAACATTTGTCATTTTCTTAGAGGCTGAGTAATTATTCCCAAAATTCCTTTTGCCCAGATCCAGTCTTTACCCAACCAGTAAAAGCACAGTCAGTCCCAGCCTCAAGTATTTAAATCTTAGCTTCAGACGCTTTGTCCAATCAGTTAAGTAAGCGAGTACAGAATTTCAGCACAAGTAGTCTAAGTTTGACAAAAAATGTAGCAAGTGAACACAGCAACTTAAAAGAACAACCATAGAAATATTACTGCTGCTGGTCCTGGTTTATTATTATTCCTACAATAAAAGGAATGGCAGAATATTTTAAGGACAAATTTAACACTCAAATGGAAGGTAAGAGAGGCATGCAATGTATTACTAAAGTTTTATCTTTTAATAGCAATAGTAATGTCACAAGAAATATTAGCAGTACTAAAATGACACCGGGGAAAAAACAGTCCACTCTGAACTTAAGCAAAATGATAACCCACGTAGAGAACTCCCTACAAAGTGCGTCACTGTTTATCAAAAGCTGTAAATGAAAAGTTCCAACTGCCTGAATTTTGAAAGAAATAGCGTGTGGAAGTTTGAGAGATAACTGTGTAGACTGATCACAATAAGTCACAAGTCTCCAGAGTCATGGGAAAGAAAGCCCAAACCAGAGCCACAAGGTAAACAGAGCAGATGTGGTTCAGGATTAAGCTCTTCAAACATACCCCTGTGCTGCAACCTGAGCTGCCTACCACCACCTGCATGCACACAGGAGGGCTCCAAAACACCTACTGGTTTCTCTGCATGCCCTGTTCTGCGTTAGTGTTACTACTCTTCAAAAGGTCTGTCCATAAAAGCAGGAGCACCAAACTCTGCCACAGTGGAGAACAACAGAAAACAGTTGTCAAATAAAGATTTGGTTGACACTATCAGTGCATTCACTTATTTTGATAGAACAACACTACAACTGAATGTTATCATTCATGCCCGGTGATGCTTATTGATAAGCAAATGTACTTTTCATAATGTGTACTGGGAGCAACGTGTACTGAACCCTGTGACGCCGTGCTAGTTTTTGGTCAGACAAGCACGCTGTTTAACATGGGTGAGTTAATATATGCTCTAGCGTCCATTGTTGCAGTGATCATCATCTTCTCCCATCTTTCATAGGGCCTTAGTCAACTGTAAGCTACAGATGAGAGAGCAAAATATCCCTCAGAGGGACTGTGATTTTTCATTTAACATAATGAACAAGCACTGGAAATAAAAATGGACTGTAAACCACAGATCAAAACCTGGCCTCTAGTGGAAAAAGCGACGCAAGTGATATGAAACAACAGCTTGATAATTTCGCAGTTGGAATAGTTGTTTTAGCTCCAACATTACTCTTTAACTGTTTTACAAATTTCATCACCGTTCACCCAAGTCCCTTGCAAAATATCCATCACTTCACCCCAGAACACTCCAAGTGGTAGAAAAGAACCATCATCATCCCTGCTCCACACTACTGGCTAAGGAAACTGAAAAAGGAAGTTTTATTAGCTGCTGAAGAAACAGAAAGCTCATGGCAGAGCCGGGACTAAAGCACAGGTCCCGTAGCTCTTACTTCTTTGTTTTAACCTTGAATTCTTTAAAACAATAATAAAATAAAATAAAAAAAAGAAGATAACCAGAATTCTATATCTACCTTTTCAAATCTAGTCCATAATTCCAGAACTTACCATTCGTGGTGGCTGTTTTGTCTGCTTCATATCTCAGAATTCCCACATTATCATTTGTTTTCTCAGTTTCTTTTGAAGTTGAATTAACTGGGCGACCAGCAACTGCTTTCTGCTTCACAAAACTTTTTTTTGCAAACATCACACTTCTGAAAACATTAAAAAGATTTGAGTTATGTAAGAAATATGGCAAATAAAAAAATAAATCCCTGCCACGCTAATGATTCCAATCAAACAATTTTTTTTTCAAAAAAAATTTCAAGTCTAAAAGAGCTCAACTGCCAGAATATAAATGTAAAGGAGATCAAGAAAGGATATCAACAGGATACATGGTCCTTCTCTTTTGAGTAAGAGACCAAGTACGTACCTGAAGAGATGCACAAAGTAAAACATCTTGTAGTACATACTACAATACCTTACTTAGAGATTTTTCTGTACATCTGCTTTGCTTTTTGAGGAAAGAGAAGTATGTCTGTTCTATTACTGTTCACATTTGGTATACGCTCTAACACAATTACAGATAGACCAGAAATCTAGAATAAATACAGTTTTGTTCTATTATTGGAGCAACTGCCTTCTTAGGAGGAAAATGCAGCTAGGAATGCTGTCACTTAGTTTCAGCATTAATAAGTTTCCCAAACTTCGTAACACCAGCCACTATTGTAAATGATTCTTCACAAGACATCACACATTTTATTCCCTAAAGTACATACGTTCCTTACAAATTTGACATATTATTGCTGCTGAAAGATTAATATTAATCAGAAACAATAGAAAAGGCTGTTTAACAGAGACAAATATCACTGCATTTTAAATCTCCTAAATAAATGATTTTGCTGTCCCTGTCTTCAGATCCCTGTTATATATTGTAGCCGGAGGGCAGCAGTACAAGACAAATCACAGCAAAATTGTTTTATCCGTGAAGAACACATTCAGCCCTAAAGATTCCTCACAATGGGGTGACAGAATTGGTGGTAGAATTTTACATGCAGTTCAAGGAAATACGGTGTCTGTCCAAGAAATTTTTACATCAGTCACAAAAACTGGTTCCTGTTTTACTTAGCTTTATAGGCATGATTTATAATAATAGCAGACTGAAAATAAAGGCATTTGATGATGTTTTGAGAGGTACAATGTTTAATAATGAAATAACTATAGTTCAATATAGGCAGACGGATGCATGCAGCCTACTCTTTTACACACATATTATGACATTAATTTATTTTTTTAAGACTTTAATTTAACAAACATTTTATTGCTAATAACATACACTACAAGAACTCTATGTCATCTAGCTATGGGACACGAAGTACAACTCTCCCTGACTACTGCCCCCATAGCTTCTCACAATGGTTACTTTAAAGATTTCTGGTACTGAGTATTGTCTTCAGATTATCATATTCAATCTACAGCATTTTCTCTCAGATTATTAATATGTGCAACATCTTCCCTTTATCCTTGGCATTAAATCTTTCAAACATCCTTTCTTCCTCCTCCTCCTCCCAGGAATTTTAATCTCAGAGGTCTAAATTCTTCAGCTGCTTCACAAACATTATTTTAATTCAGACAGGCATCTATGCAGTGAGCAATGAATCAAGACTGTGGCTGTGAAGCTTGAAGCAATGTATGTTTACAGCACTAAAAATAATAATTCATTACACAGATTAAGCCAAGCATTTCCCAAGTAACTCTACCTATCCTCAGAGATGTTTCAAAAAGGATCATAGTAATAGCTGGGAGTGGGGAGAGAGAAGGCTGGTTGCGTGGTTTTGCAGCACTAGAAGTGACCAACATAAAAATACAGCTTTCCGAGATCTCTGTATTCCTATAAAACATATAGTCAAAACTGTTAATACATGGTTAACTAAGTAGTGAAAGACAGACTGTCAAAGTAATTGCTTGGGGAACAAAAAATCTATATAAAGAACGTTACGTGCGGTTTATTAAGTAAACCATCATTCTAAGAAAAAAAACAGACCTGCTAAAACTAAAAACAAGAAGGCTTTTTCATTTGCCACTCTAAAAAAAGAAAAATAACTGCAAAGGGTCAGAGGCCCTAGAGACCATCACTATATATAGGAAACTCCAAGTGTTGGGAATAAATGAAGGAAACCGTACTGTGGAGTTCACGGAGGTAACATGGAATTTATTGGTGGATTTGTTGGAAACCTCCCCACTGCAGACTGAAAAGGCATAGAGGATATCAGACCATATGTGGGCATTTACAGCAGTATTAAGAATTTTTCTGGAACCAATTTGAGAGAAGAAATGAGGCATACAATTATTGTGACTATCATACTTCCTGGCTGTAGACTTTTGACATAAAATGAGGGAAGAAGGAAGCTGATTCTTTAGAAAAAAAGATTCTTTTCCAGGTGCACAAAGGAGCAACAAAACTTTGCCAATAATACAATTGGTAAAATATAACTTCCTGAATGTGAGATATGCTTTTAGAGTAAACATGTAGGCTTCCTGTCAGGTAACTCACTAGTCCTCCACAAGGAATGATCATTACGATAATAATAGCTCTTTGAACATGAAGCTAGGAAAAAACATCACACAGTCACAATACAGGTGGAATGAGAATGTTCAGGTACATGAAAGAGCAACGGTGATGTACATACGGATATAATATTAATTCATTTTATCTTGTTTGAGCTTCACTTTGAAGAGGTAAATTTTTCCAGAGGAACTAATATCCTGATAAATACTCTTACATAGCTCTTGTGTCATTAGACTGTAATACCTCTAAACACATTTCCAGTAATGATTTTGGGGTTTTTTAGAAAACTATTACAATATTTCTACCTAA